GTTAATAACTAAATATTTATGTCGATATGCAGATTTATGAATACAGATTTATGAAAATTAATCTCGTGAGCATGAAAAATTCATATTGACAGCAATATTGTGCGGAGGGTTCATTATTTCTTTTGGATCTCACATCATTCATTCTGGGTTTCGCTTTCGACATGCGTGTCGCGCTATCGACTATGAATACGTGTCTTAAATTTCTTTAGCTAGAAATATTTATTATTTTATATATTGTAAATATTCATATTTTGAATATTTACATTATGCATGAATTATTCATTCGGGGCAGAATAAGCCCCACTTTGTGACGTTAGGTCATTTAGACGTCATTCAAGTTGATTTGCGGCTTACTAGTTTCTACTTGCGAATAAATAGCTTCAAGTTTACTTTAATGCGTGCGCACGTTGCAGCACATGTTGCGCACAGACGTTTCCTGACCATTGCGCTAAATCACGAGTAATGTGGTCGCCGTGACTTACCTAGGAAACATTACAGAAGTGTTCTATGTACTAAAACGTAGTTTGTTGCATCGTCACATATAGTCGCGGTTCTCAGAATTCTGAGGTTGTGCATTTCGGCAAATTTGATTTCTATACCGATTATGCGTTGCAATGACTTTTCTATTCATTCGTAGAAAGTTTCGTCTTCTTGAAAATTTTTGAAAATGAGCGCGTTCGAGAGAGAGAGCGAGAGAGAGAGAGAGAGAGAGAGAGAGAGAGAGAGAGAGAGAGAGAGAGGAGAAAGATAAAGATAGGAAGAGAAGGAGACAGAGAGATAGAGAAAGAGTGATGGAGAAAGGAGGAGCTTCTCTGCGCCGTGCGAAGTTCCTGCATCGCGCGTCGTCGTTGGCATAATAATTTTCTCATATTCATATTCATAAGTACTGCATGCATATTCACAATAAATTTCCCAGCGGAATCGCTGTACTGGAAAGTGTAAATTATTTCGCGGCAAATTGAAAGCTGTCTGCTTGAATGTTCCGTACCGGGCGCGACATCGTCGGGACTCATGGTTATTCTCACACAAACTGTTTAAGTTAGTCCGATGAGAAATTGTCAATTCCAGCTTTTCGCATACGGCTGGACTGCGTTGGCAGGCGACGTGAAAGTGCGAGATGCGAGAAGGCGAATTAAAGTTAAACGAATTGTCCGGCTACAACGCTGAATTTTCGCGTGATTCATAGCTGCGAGAGAAAAGAGAAGGGACGAGCTCGACAAGTAAGACACTTATGTATGTGTGTCAAATGTTACAGTGACGTGAAATATTAAAATATGGAAATGAATATGTGCCAAATGTCATAGCTTGCGGAAGAACCGTAATTTTTTAATTTTCGCTTACGAGGGAAAAGCTTTCGAGATTATTCGATTTCGAGATTAACGAGCTTTCGGTATTTGTTTTGCGTCGCGCACATTCGTTCTATTCCGAAAACGAATGATGCGATAAATTTCGTTACACCCCGGGCGATATGAATCTTCCGGAAATCTCTGCTTTGCTATAGGTACGTATCGCTGAATCTTGCCAACATGGCACTAAAAGCAGATCCTTTTGCTAGGGACCGTTCGCATTAAAAGCCCCGTAACGTATCGGGCGACTTTCTCTAAATAACTCGATTTTCCGTTCGAGTAACGTGCAACCAGCGATGGACAGGTCTGTCGAATGATCGAGTTTTATTTTTAATTAAGAGAATCAATTTAGTCCGTGTGTCGCATTGAAGTGGAGACTAATGTGTTTCATTTTATTAGCACTCGTGCTTCTTTGTACAACATATTAAATCTGCTATAATTTTGTTCAATTTTAATCTTTTTTTCTACGTCAATTCCGATACTTGACTGCCTCCCCCCTTTTTTTCCTCTCTTTCATTTACCATTGTTATGCGACTGATATAAACCGATTTTGAAAAAGATTTACAGTTGCAAAACACGTACAATATTGCTGTCGGAAACTCGCGTTTTCGATCGGAATTGCAAGTAGTTTCGCGATAGGTCCCCCGAATTCAATAAATCGGGCCTCTCCCCCGTCTACGACGATCGACGCTCGGACACACCGTTCGTTTTTCTCCCTCGCTCGTCTCGCCTCGCCGATCGCGCTGTCGTCGTTTGTCTTTGTCGTTTCCGCTGACCAGGCCACCACCGTTCACCCCTCATCGAGGCCCCCCCCTCTCTCTCTCTCTCTTCCCCCCTCTTTCTCCCCACAGTCGAGAACTCGGTCGGCGAATCGGGTCCAGCATCCGTTTCTTGCTGTGGGTTGCCAGAGGGTGCGAAATTTTCCAAGACAGTATATGCGTGTACACGAGAGAGACGAAATAACGCAACTGCGCAAGAGAGAGAGAGAGAGAGAGAGGGGGGGGAAGGGGGAGAGAGAGAGGGAGAGGGAGAGAGAGAGAGAGGGTGGATCGAAGAGGATGGAGGTGGTGGAAGGTGAAATAACGCAGATTGGAGAGAGAGAGGGGAGAGACGAAAGAGAAAGAGAGAGAGAAAGAGAGAGAGAGAGAGAGAGAGCGCGCGCGCGCGTGCGACGTTCCAGAGACGCGCGTGAGAGAGGCGGGTGAATGAGGTGATTGAGTCACGGTGGAGCGAGAGAAACCGAGAGATACCGCTTTGTCGTAAGGGGAGGAAGTGATAGAAGAGAAAGAGGACTATCTACACGTCGGAGAAAAGATACATTAGTCCAGAATGCAAAAGAGAGAAACGCGAAGAGTCGAGGGAGTCGGATCGACGTGGGAGCGACGAAGACAGTCGGGGGTGCGAGCGAAGAGCAACACGGGGTGTAAAGTGAGAGAGAGAGAGACTGGGTGAACGAGGACCTCGCGCTTCGACCAGCGCGAGGAGGACGAAGGGCTCAAAGAAGTTAAGGGAGAATTCGTGATCTAAACGAGAAAGAGAGAATGAAAGAGAGATGATGAAAGAGAGAGAGAGAGAGAGAGAGAGCCTCGTGGATAAAAGAGAGCGTGCGCTTTCTCGCAAAGGGCGAGAGGGTGAGAGGGAGCCAGCTGCCACCGCACAGCTACACCCACGGCGACGGTCGGACCTCAGTCGTCCGCGCACCCTCGAATGGTGAGGACGGTTGTGCCCGGTGGTGAAAAGTTAAATCTCGTCGTTCTCGCCGCTGCGAGCACGACCGGGTGGTGCAGGGCACCACGTCACACGTCGCCCGCTTCAGCTGACGCTCGATCTGTGCGACGTTTCCCGCCGACGTCACAGCCTGTGCGGGCACTCAACCCTCGGGTGATCGACAAAGGGTGAGTAGGCATCCAGCCGGAAACCCCAAAAGGGATCAATCGAGACATCGTTCTTTCGAGACTTCGCGCCCGTCCGCTCGCGTTCAACGGTCAAAAGTTTGAGCGAATGCTCGATTTTCGTACAGTCGATCGGAAACTCTCGGGTTCAATTGAGCCGGCGAGCGGTAATGATAGCAGCGAATTCTTAGCAGCGGTGCAATCACACGGCTAAAGGTAACGTGATGAGAACGAAGGTAAACAGAGATTGTGGAACGAACTACGAGGTGCACCTATGTATATTAATCTCATGTACCGTTACAACTGAACCCAGTTTCTTCATTCTTCGAACGATTACATTAATTCGTTCGAGAATAACAAAAAAAACTTTGCATTATTATGTCACAAACGATATAACGCGACGTAGAAAACTCGTCGTGGCCTGAAACTTTTCACATGGTTCTCTTCCGAGGCTAAAAACGCCACATCGTCGTATTTACGATAGACGCAATTATCTCGAGAAATCGCATTGAATTTGGAAGCGTAGTGTTTCAAAGCTCATGAATGTCATGTACCAATCGATTCCGAGGCTCAACAATAAAACAGAGGCATTTATTGGCGAATAGATTTCCCCGTCGTTGAGAGGAATTAAGTATAAATTGTGATTCATTATTTGCTCGTTAAATTTGACAATCAGGAAGCTTGTCCGATAAATTACTAAGCGCCAACGAGGCTACACTCGAAACGGACAAAATTATCGGCAAATAGTTTAGACTGCACGATAGAGAGTAATTGTCGCTTCATTAAGGACTTGTTATGTTTTAATTGTTAAAATAACACGAATCGAACGATCGACGAAATTAGCGTGATGTAATTTTTACTGAGCACGGTCGAATCAGTTAATCGAGTTTATTAAAGCTCATCGATTGGACATCGACTGGACTAATTAGCATTGGTGGCACGTTTCTGTCGATCTTGAGATGACAAGTCTGCCATTACTCGATATATTGAATTATTCACTTTAAAACAACAGTTACTATTCAATATTTGGCAATGCAGATGGTTTTTATCTTTAGTGAGTACATAAAGACATAGCAATTATACTAAATGGACAGTCTATGCGACTGTATCTTAATTTATATAAATATTATATCTTTTATTTTGTGAAAAAAACGTACGTAAAATTTTTGTTAAGTGCTTAAAAATATCTATACATTTAATTGTAATATTTACATTTAATAATGAATAATATCTGTATATTTTTGTGCGCTTAATATACGTAACTGTCTCTCACAGTTTTCTGTAAACTTATTAGAAAAGTACGTATACTCGGCAAAAAGTTTTCTGTTAAAAATACGTCAATAACTTTTATTTGCGTGTCTCTCAAAATTGGCGTAGGGATTGAGACGCGATTGCCGCCAATGAAGTATTTTGCAGTTGTCTGGAAATGAAGTTGCGATAAACGTCGCCACATTTCGAAACGGGGCCGGTGTGCGGCACGTTCGAAGAGCTCGCATGAAATAGATCCTGAAACGTGTTTGCCTTGCTCGCGGAAGCAGAAAGCGAGGTTAAGGAGACGGCGTGCCTTTTTTCCCCTCTTTCTCCCTCGATTTCCTAGCTGTAACCCATTCGTAGTAATCGATATCCGATCGCCAAAATGTAACTTATCTCGCCCTCAATTACTCGCAAATAAAAGTCCTAGGCTATTTCAATTTAAAATTTGTTAGGGCTAATTGCGAAACTATTTAGAAACGAGGATCTGAGTTTTGTAACAAACAAGCGGATTGTCTACAACGAATTTACTTTGAAGATTTTCTGCATCGCGGAATCGTTCGTATTTCAAAATGTTTTCATAATTTAATTGACACGATGCAATATACGTAATTTGTGTGACATGCCCGCATTGTATCTTTCGAAATTTTCTTTGGAAATGTTAAAAAATTGCGGCCGCGTATCGCCAATGTCGCAGTATTGTCGGTGCATCAGTGCATTTCCGTTAACGCGTCAGCTCGATGCGGCTTTTTTATATCGATGCGTCGTATCGTTGCACCGCAACGTTGGAGTCATTCCAAGGGGACATCGGTCTCCGGGCACGAAGCTCTCCATTACGGTAAAATGGGAATAATAGGGGCATGCGGGCGTCGCGAATAATTTACTGTGCGCCTGTTTATCCGTTGTTGCAAATTGGATACGCGTTCGCCGGGAATGGTACACAGGCCGTCTGTTGACGTGTTGTCACCGCGAGATTTCGCATCTCGTCGATGTGCCAAAACCTCGTGCGCAATGTATTGGCGCAAAATGAAGTTGCCCTTGTCATTTAATAGTAACGAACGACAGCCTTCATACGAGCGATCCGTACTCCTATTTGGGTCAATTACCAATCTCGAAATGCATCCTATTTCTTTTTTTAAATTCAGTTTCCAAGTTCGACGGCACGCTTGTCTCATAATGGGATTTTACTCGCGCTCCCCTGGTTGACTCGTTAAAGACCCAATTTTTCCTCATTTCACATCGCTCACCGGTAGGATAGCGCAAAAATAGTCGCAGCCCGAGATCCCAAGCCGTTTTCTTTTCGTTATATAAAACCGGTGCTTACACATATAGAAAACCTACACTTCGTACAGATATGTATATCCCTCTCCTTTTTTTAAGCGAAGGTTGCGCAAGAATGACGCGCTTGAGCTAAATCTCCAAGTCATGACGCATATTTGATGATCATTACAGCGTTTTATTCGCGCTATCGAGCTGATCAAGCTATTAAGAATCTATTCTTGTGTTACACACAGTTAACTATAGAATGAAAACATGTGCTATCAAAAATTCTATCCACTTCTTTTTTTATCGTCAAATTATTATCTAGATAAGTCAACCTTGGTTTCCGTAGATTCAAGTACTTTTCTCCATTCTAGTCTAAACAAAAGTGACAGAAGTCGAAACAAAAACACCGTAATGAGCACACGGACTCTCAATTCTAGCCAATTGTTGCGACATTTCGCTTCATTTCCACGCTTAAAAAGGACTCGGTCTTACCCGATGATGAGAATACGAAGATCGATTCGCGTTTCTTACTCACGTAATCGAATCTGTTCGCCGTGTAAGCTCTTTTGTAACTCGAAATGAAAGAGTTAACGAGCTTTACGTACGAGAATTATCTCGAGTTATCACTTCTATCGACGGACAAGAAACGCGTGGTTCCTGAAACCGATTATTATCTCGGTCTTTGAGTGAGATTTATCTTGACATCTTTAAACTATAGATCGTAATGATGTTTGCGAGGTGAAAGAGAGACAGGGAGAGACACGGAGAGACAGGGAGAGACAGGGAGAGACCCAGAGAGACAGGGAGAGACAAGGGGAGACGGGGAGAGACAGGGAGAGACCCAGAGAGACAGGGAGAGACAAGGAGAGACCCAGAGAGACAGGGCAGAGACAAGGAGAGACGGGGAGAGACAGGGAGAGACAGAGAGAGGCAGGGAGAGACAAGGAGAGACAGGGAGAGACGCAGAGAGACAGGGAGAGACAGGGAGAGACAAAGGGAGACAGGGAGAGACAAGGAGAGACAGAGAGAGAGAGAGAGACAGGGAGAGACACGGAGAGACAGGGAGAGACAGGGAGAGACAGGGGAGATAGGGAGAGACAGGGGAGATAGGGAGAGACAGGGGAGATAGGGAGAGACAGGGGGAGATAGGGAGAGACAGGGAGAGACGGGGGAGAGAGAGAGAGGAGGGGGGGCGGGAGAGCGCGTACAATTTCCTTCCAAATACGCATCGCAAAGAGAAGTTACGGCGCAAGTTTCTCGCGGAGACAGCTCGCGACTTCCGTCGTCGTGGTTAACTATCTTTCGTCATTACCAGTTTCTAAGGAACGATGGCTTTCATACCCGCTATATTCGTGCTCCGTTCCGGTTTGTATTCGCTGTCTGTCGCGTTATAAACTATGTTTTCAAACAGTTTCCTCGGTATTTCTCTTAATTAAGAGAAAACTTTTTCAACATATAGTTAATTTGCAACCAATTTGCTAATTTATCAATTAACTTGTTAAAAAAGCTTGTTATTTTATAGATGCACAAGATTACGTAATACCTATATAAAAGAGAGAAAGCTGTATGCGATAGAGCTTAGGAAAAATTCAAACATTAACTCTTTTGTGCTAGTTGCGTGCTTTTGCGTGTTTTTATGCGCTATTGATTTAAAATATGAAAATAGTTCAAGCAACAGCAAAACGAACCGCACGTTTAACTTCCGCTCTGATCAGTATTGAATATACATTATGCACAACGAATATACGTTTGTCGGTTTCCCGAAACTATCACGTTATAAATATTATACGCGAAGCGATGCAAGTCGATCCGCCGCAGACGCAAACACTCGTTGTTTTGCACGATTACAATTTGCATAAGTATGTATTTACCCAGATAGTTTTCGGGCCCCCATTAACCACATAAACTCCGTGTTATAACCGTATGCGCTATGCTGCGAATGCACATGCACCGACAAAATTAGATTGCGTTGCTTAACTTCTTGTTTATTGTACGGAAACTTCTGTAGTACAAATACTTATATCGAGAAGAATTGTGATAAATGATGAGTCATATCGAACAATATACGAATAAATGTGAAAACTAAAGTGATTTAAGAACATGGCAAACCAATTTATCAAGGATTGTCAATTGTTACGAATCTTGGGTGGATATCGTGAATATTATATGGTATAGAAAATAAATCTTTGTACATTTAGTTCAAAAAACGCGAAGTCTAATGATGCAATTAATAGATTTACGACATTTCATAGAGCATAATATCCAGATCCCCACAATTAGCATATTATTTGATGAGCATATTAATGCGAATAATGTGCTGCAGAACGTTTTTTTTAATTTCTTATCACTGCAATCACTGAAATGTATTCGATGCGTACGATTATCGCGAAAAATTATTTGTTCTATAGTTTTAATTCATATTCAGTTTGTAATACACTTGTAATATATTTTATCTGTGTGATGAAAATTGGCTATTCACGATTTAT